ACACACATTTAAGAAAATAAAAGAAATTAAATAAACATGACAAATGCATACAACGCCATTTCAAAACTAAACATTTAAATGAAAGCAAAAAAATATGAAAAGAACAAAAGGTATTAGAGTATAATAATGATTCTAACATAACACTAAGCCAAACACCAAAAAACAACTACATGTGTATGTACAGCCACACACACATACATACATATACATGTATATAAATACATGCAATATATATATATATATGACTTCATTTCCATTTTGTATGTTGAAGTACTGAAATAACTCAAATTAAGTAAAAAACCTATATAGACATAATAAAAAACTAATAAAATGACAACATTACTACAACTGTAAAATAGATAACTAATACAATCAAACTACAATTTAGTAATCCTAAAAAAAAAAATTTATATTATTATTATTATATTTTTTAATTCATTAATGTGAATTAATTTGTGATTTCAGGATTTGCTATACTGAAAATGCCTCTAAATGTTTATTGTTGGCAAAAATCATAGAATAGGCTATTTTTTTTCTTGTAGTAATCATAATTTTCTGTTAATTTTTATATTCAGATCTGAAATATTTAATTGAGTAAAAAATGTTTTGATGTAAAAAATCATAGATTTTTTTTAATAGTAAATATAATTTTATGTGTTTTATACTCGGCTCTAAAATATCGAGTAAAGACTTTTATTGTCAAAAATCATAGAATTTTTATTTATAGTCAATAATAACGGTCTGTGTCTTATACTCAGCTCTGAAATATATTTAATTGAGTAGAAATTGTTAAAAATCATTAACATTTTTAGAGTAAATATCATTTTCTGTATCATATACTCGGCTCTAAAATATTAAATTGAGTAGAAAAGTTTTATTGCCAAAAATCATATAATTTTTTTAATAGTAAACAATGATCTATTTTATACTCCGCTGTAAAATATGTAATTGAGCAGAAACTGTTTTATTGTCAAAATGATACAGTAGGTTTATAGTAAATATAAAATCTGTATTTTACACTCATTGAGTAGAAACTGTTGTATTCTCAAAAATCAGATTTATTCAATATATTTTTGTATTTTATACTCGGCTCTAAAATATTTAATTGAGTAGAATTTGCAATTGATAAATGCAAATATGTATATGATTTTTAGTTTAACTTCATTTAGGCAATAAATACAATTTTGTTTTGACATTTTAACTCGAAATGAAAAGGAAATTAGACTAAAGTATTTCTTGCTCTCTGAATCATGATAAACAGAAAGATGCTTATAAATAAATAGTCAATGACTAATGTGTTGAAATAGTTTGATTCAAATACATTCATTTTGTTCTTGGTATTATTATTAAACATAACGTGAGCCTTCTCTCACCAGGTGGACAAACACATCCGAAGGCTGGATGCCGATCTCGCTCGCTTTGAGAATGAGCTGAAGGAAAAGTTGGACGTCAGTGGCTACGAAAGTCCAGACAACAGAACGGCCAAGAGTAAGACAGACTGTGGCTTGATTTGGCCAAATATAACATATGTCATAATCAACATGATGTACGAGGAGAATAAAACCAAACTGCTGTCCTTCGTAGAAGTAGGCGGTCGAGGAAGCCTGAAGGAAAAACGGCGGCCGAAAGGAAGAGGACGCAAACCTTCAGACGACGACTCGCCACGGAAAAAGAAAACGAAGAACAGGTGAGAGTCACAGAGCACGAACTTTAGAGGAACAGTTCAACCGCAAATGAAAGCTTATTAGGATGAGTTTGTTTCTTCATCGGATTTGGAGAAATACAGCATCGCATCACTGTCTCACCAATGGAAGTGAATGGGTGCCGTCAGAGTCCAAACAGCTGATAAAAACATCACAATAATCCACAAGTAATCCAACTAATCTTGTGAAGCCAAAAACTGCGTTTATAAGAAACAAATCCATCATTAAGACGTTTTTAACTAAAATACTATCCATAATTACGCTTCCTCCGGTGAAAAAGTGGTCTGGTCTGAATCAGGAGAGAAATCTGCACAGATCAAGCAGCAGTCCAAAACAGCTCTAAACAAACATGTGACCCTGCAGCACAAAAGCAGTGTTAAGTCGCTGGGGTATATTTGTAGCAATAGCCAACAATACATTGTATGGGTCAAAATTATACATTTTTCTTTTATGCCAAAAATCATTAGGATATTAAGTAAAGATCATGTTCCGTGAAGACATTTTATAAATTTCCTACCGTAAATATATCAAAACTTAATGTTTGATAAGTAATATGCATTGCTAAGAACTTCATTTGAACAACTTTAAAGATGATTTTCTCAATATGATTTTTTTGCACCCTCAGATTCCAGATTTTCAAATAGTTGTATCTCGGCCAAATATTGTCCTATCCTAACAAACCATACATCAATGGAAAGCTTATTTATTCATGTATAAATCTCACTTATGACTGGTTTTGTGGTCCAGGGTCACATATGTGGGTTGATGTTATGTGGACTTTTTCACTGGAGGAAGTGTTATTATGTTTTATGGACATGGGATTTTAGTTAAAAACGTCGTAATGATTGATTTGTTTCAGCTTTTGATGTTAACTGATGGACTGGTGAGGTGTGGATTATTGTGATGTTTTTATCAGCTGTTTGGACTCTCATTCTGACGGCACCCATTCACATCCATTGCTGAGCAAGTGATGCAATGCTACATTTCTCCAAATCTGATGAAGAAACAGACTCATCTGCATCTCGGATGTTTACTCAAAAATACAGGTTTGAAGTGACATTTACGTTGTTTTCTCGTCTCCGCAGCCCTGAGTTCTCTGAATCCATCCTTCCAGTTCACCCGTCAGACGTCTTAGACATGCCCGTTGACCCCAATGAGCCCACATACTGCCTGTGCCACCAAGTGTCATACGGAGAAATGATCGGATGCGACAACCCAGACGTACGACGTGACGCTTTAAACGGTTTACTAGCATTTCCTCATAGTATTTATTTAACCAAAATGCCTTTGTTAACAGTGTCCCATTGAGTGGTTTCACTTCGCTTGCGTTGATCTGACAACCAAACCCAAAGGGAAATGGTACGTCGGTCTGTTCACGAGAACCCGGCAATATCTCTGTTTCCAACATCAGAAAACAACGTCTCTTTTCTGTCTTCCAGGTTCTGTCCACGATGCACCCAGGATCGAAAGAAAAAATGAGATGCACATTTGTAACGTTGAGAGATTACATTTCTATATGAATATATACGTATGCATATATATATATATATATATGTATTCTGTCTAAGTGGTAAAATAGGATAATATATACTCCTTGGCCATGATGAAATATTCGAGGGTCGCGAGGAAACAAAGTTTTTATTTTTCAAAGTACTTAAAATGTTTCCATATGTTTAAGTTTCATTCTGTGGTGTCAAATTGTCATTTTCAGACAATCTAGGATATATTATATATGATATACATATATTTTTTTTCTTTTTACTTACTGATTAGTATGTATTTAAATTTTACGAAGCTTCAAGCAAATATCATGTCATTGTGCTTTGCTCGTGAAATGTTTTTAGCGTGGCACAAGTCGTTCGAAAGAATTTTGCACACTTTTAACACGCTGAATTCGGCAGCAAACATGATTTGTATTTGCCGTTCTTGCACTTAAAGTATAATGCGACTACTTTTTTTCTGCAACTATCGATTTGCGTTGAAATTCAACTTGTTGTTCAAGCAGAGTGAAACTTTGAAGTGCAAGTGATACGTTTTATTGTTATAATTATGTAATTACAGACGATAATCCAAAATCTCACTCAGCATAAGTGCCGTTGTTTAAGTTTCTTTTTTCCCCATTCAAATGTTGCTTTATCCTTCGTTATTAGCAAGAATATTTTGCAGAACTTAAAGGAACACTCCACTATTTTTTAAAATAGGCTAATTTTCCAACTCCCCTAGAATTAAACAGTTGAGTTTTACCGTTTTCGAATCCATTCAGCCGATCTCCGGGTCTGGCGGTAGCACTTTTAGCTGCAGCTTAGCATAGATGATTATTCTTTGATTATTACGCCGGAATGAGAGTATAGTTCCTAGCCATTTCGGCCTAGAAAATCATAACTTTTCATTTTCCGTCGGTCTTAGTACTACAGAAGAGTCAAGTTTTAAATAGGAAAAATATCGAAACTATTTGGTCATTTTTGAGCGAGATGCTAACGGTCTAATCAGATTCAATGATCTATGCTAAGCTAAGCTAAAAGTGCTACCGGCAGACCCAGAGATCGAAAACGGTAAAACTCAACTGTTTAACTCTAGGGGATTTGGAAAATGAGCCTATTTTCAAAAATAGTGGAGTGTTCCTTTAAAGCAACTAACTACAGTGGAAGCTTGTTTCCACATCAGAATTAAAAATTAAAGAAGTTATCTAACAATTCAGATTTGTTTCTCGCCATTCTCAAAATGTCGCAATTCTGAAGCTGATGTGGCAATAAACTTGAATCAAGTCAAGAAGTCATGTCGCAATTCTGCCTTTTTTTCTCATTATGGCGAAAAACGAAGTCTGAATTGTGAGATAAAATGCCGCAATAATGTTTTTTATTCTGTGGCATGAAAAAAATGAATTGCGAGATATAAAATATATAAAGAGATAAAGTTTTTTCTCACAACTGCGAGTTTACATTTCTCAATTCTTTAGTTTATATCTTGCAATTGTGTTTTTGTTACCACCTGGGAATAAAAAAAAGGGTAATTGCGACTTTTTATGCTTTGAGTTTATATTTCGCAATTCTGACTTTTTGTCGCAGTTGCGAGTATTATATCTCGCAATTCTTTAGTTTGTATCTTAGATTATATATTTAGTTTATAAAAAGCCACAATTACTTTTTATTCTGTGGCAGAAACCAAAAAAGCTATTTTTTGTTTCTGCTATGTAATAAAAAGTAAAAAAAAAAATTATGACGACTTTTTATCATAATTCTGAGTTTATATCTCACAATTCTGACTCTTTTGCAATTGCAAGTTTATAAGCTTTAATTTGTATCTTTGAATTCTGACGTTTTTCTCGCAATTGCAAGTTTAATTCCGTGGCACAAAAAAAAAAGTTTATATTTCTTTAGTTTATATCTCGCAATTGTGTGTGTTTTTTGCTTCTGCCGTGGAATAATTTTTTTTTAAATGTAATTGTGACGTTTTATCTCATAATTCTGAGGTTATATCTCACAATTTCGATTTTTTTTTCTTGCAATTGCAAGTTTATATGTCAGTTTAGACTTTTCTCGCGATTCTTTAGTTTCTATCTCACAATTCTTACTTTTTTCTCAGAATTGTGAGATATAAACTCATAATTGCAAGAAAAAAAAATCCGAATTGTGAGATAAAATGTCAGAATTACCATTTTTACTCTGTGGCACAAAAAAATTATTGTGAGATCAATTTTTCTTTCTTTAGAATAGCTATCTTTAGTTTATATCTCGCAATTGTGTTTTTTTTGCTTCTTCCGTGGAATAAAAAAATGTAATTGTGACTTTTTATCTCGTAACTAAAAAAAATTCTCGCAATTGCAAATTTGTGTCAATTCAGACATTTCTTCTCAGAATTGAGACTTTATATCTCGCAATTCTTTAGTTTCATAATTGTGAGATATAATCTCATAATTGCCAGGAACAAAGTCCAAATAGTGAGATAAAAAGTCGCAGTGCGCGGAAACAGGCTAGCATAAACCACCATGTTTCAAACTCCGTCTTGAAGAAGCGTCTTGCTCCAGTTCTCAGTGTTTTAAGCGGGTGGTTTTGGCAGTATCTGCCATCATTTCTCCAGCAGCTTTGATGCACTTTTTAATCGACCAGATTTGGCACTTACGGCCAGAACGCTTTCCGATTCAGTGCCGTTTTTATGGCTTTTTTTAAAGGTTGGAAAAGCAAACCAGCTGTCAGTGGATCAACCAAAGTGAGATCAAGCGGTGTTAACACTGCTCTCGTGTTATTTTATCATTCTATATGTGATCCAAATATAAAACATGAAATATTTCTTCCATCATACTGACGTGAGACTACCTTATTGAACACACGTGCCTGTACGTTGTATCGTGTCATCAATACTGAGAAGAATCCACAAGGTTGAAAGTGTGACAATCAAGTAGCGTTTTATTTTTTCATGTTTAACTATCCCTGAAATATATGGACTAGATGTTCCGTACAGCTTTTCGTAAAAACAAATAAATATTTACCATTACGTCTCCTCTGTGTAATTTATGTAAAGTTTTGTGATATGAAGCAGTGTTGTTTTAGTATCATTACTATACTTAGTATTTATTAATATTTTGTATTTAGTTTTATATTTTCCCTCTTCATTTTATTTTTAAAGTTTTAATCATTTTAGTAAATGTAAAATATATATATATTTACAATCTTATTTGTTAATATTTTGATTTCAGGTTTTTTTTGTTATATGTTTGTTTTACATTTTTTGTCATTAATTAAATTTTTTTCTTTTAGATATGTCTTCTATCTGAGTATTTATGGACATTTTGAATTTAGTTTTCATTTATATATTTTCCATTTTCATTTTATTTTAAAGTTTTAATAATTCGTTTTTTCTGTCTTTATGATTAGTTGTCTTTTGAATGTTTAATTATTAACATATTTAATTTAATATTTTCTCTTTTCATTTTCGTTTGAAAGTTTTAGTAATTGTATTGTTAAATACTGTATGTCTGTTTAGTTTGTATTAATTTTGAGTTGACTTTTAGTACTTCAACCTAAACTAAACAAAAATAAGAAACTAATTTAACTGCATTGACTAAATTTTTTTTTTTTTACAATTTATTTATATATATTTCTGTTAACATTTAATAATTTTTTTAAATTAATGTTAAATGTGTTTTAGCATGTTTAGCTTTTGTTGGTGTTTTGGTACGACTAAAAATTTATAATATTTATGTAAAAAAAAGAATCACACAAGGTTCTAAAAAAATGTTGAGGCTTAGGGTTTCAGTGTCCTCCATTTTTTACATTTATTTAATGAAATATTAAAGTATTTTCAATATTATCGATGCTATTTTATGTAAAAGAATCAAATAGATAAGACCAAAAAAAACCCATCACGTAATGTTTACCATAGAGGACGTGACCTTAAAACAACATGTAGCAGCTAATGTATAGTTCAACATTAGACTTCAACAGAAGCCCCATAATGCACCAGCTCTCCGTGTGTCTTCATTCTGGATCAGTCTGAAATCCGCTCCAGTGCGTCTGATCCTCTAAAGCTCCTCATCGGACTGCCCTTCATCCCAGCTGCACGTCTCTGGCACGCTGTTCTCTGGAAACGCCACCTCCAGATCGTACACGAAGTCCGCATCCTCCTTGTGTTTGCGGTTGCGCTCGAACAGCTGGTCCATCTGGGCCTTCCTGCGGTTCAGCTCGTCATCGCTCAGTTTATTCAGGTCCTCGTCGCTGGGGTGGGACACCCGTCGGGCGGCGAGACTCTCCTCCAGACTGAGACCCTTCAGATGGTCTCGGAGTATGAGGTGAAGCCTTTCCAGCTGAGCCAAAGAAACCGTCTCCAGATACATGCTGTGACGCGCGTGATGCTTCAGTCTCTCTGCTGCTCGACTGCAGTCTAGAAACAGGGTGTAATACTTTATATTCACATTCATTAAAACAATCGTTCAGCCAGAAATAAAACTAGCTGAAAATGTGCTCATCTTCAGGGCATCCGAGATGTAGATTTGGAGAAATGTAGCATTGCATCACTCGCTCACCAATGGAAGTGAATGGGTGCCGTCAGAATGAGCGTCCAAATAGCTGATAAATACATCACAATAAGTAACCCACGGCACTCCAGTCCATCAGTTAACATCTGGAGACGACGAAAGCCAAGCCAAAACAGCTGTAAACAAATATGTGGCTAGATTTCGATGTGAGAGACAACAGGAGACGGACACCGGAGGAAGTGTTATTATGGACTCATATGTGACCCTGGAGTCGCTGGGGGATATTTGTAGCAATAGCCAACAATAAACTGTATGGGTCACAATTATAGATTTTTCTTTTATGCCAAAAATCATTAGGATATTAAGTAAAGATCATGTTCCATGAAGATATTTTGTAAATTTCCTACCGTAAATATATCAAAACTTAATGTTTGATTAGTAATATGCATTGCTAAGAACTTCATTTGGACAACTTTAAAGATGATTTTCTCAATATTTCGATTTTTTTGCACCCTCAGATTCTCAAATATTGTCCTCTCCTAACAAACCATACATCAGCGGAAAGCGTATTTATGAAAGCTTTCATTCGAATTTCGAAGATTTGACCCGTATGCCTGGTTTTGTCGTCCGGGGGGTCACATATTTTAACCAGAAATGATTTTTTTTTTAAGTTAAAAACATTTCAATAATGTATGTGTTCTTTACAAACACGCAGCTACATTAACTGATTGGACCGGAGTCGTCTGTGGATTACTGTGATGTTTTTATCAGCTGTTTGGACTCTCACTCTGACGGCACCCGTTCACTTCCATTGATAGCATGCTACATTTCTCCAAACCTGATGAAGAAACACACTCGTCTACATCTCTGACGGCCTGAAGGTGAGGACATTTTCAGCTAATTTGTCATTTCAGGTCAACGGCTCCTTTAAGTCAGTAGCCTATGTAATATGCATCTAAGGGCTCCTTTCTGCGTTACATTAGAAAGCGTCGCTCTCAGACAGACTCACCTGAATACTGAGAGAAGCTCCTCACAGGTATGACTCTCTTCCTCATCTTGCTGCTGTTTGTGTGCTCATGATATATGAGGACGATGGAAGGGGGGATAAATGTCACTCCACAGCGCTTCGCTACTATGGACATTTCACTCACGCTTCCAGAAATAATGTCCATAAAGAGTCTATCTTTCTAGTACTGTAACCATAGCAACAGTGCGATATTTCGCGCAGACTACCGGAATGTTGAGCACTCGCTTGTTTCGCTCCGGTTTTCTTAAAGGCGCAGGCACACATTTAACACGATGCACGCGTTCGTAAATAAAGCGTCTGCTGAGCGTCAAACGAACGCGTTAGAGTTGTTGCGAGGTTTGCATCGCTGTTGTACCGGTTCTGCTTCTGCTGAGGGAGTTTCGCTCGCGACGCTCCACAGCGCCATCTACCGGAGCGACGTAATCAGACCCGGAAGTGAAACTGGGATGATTACAGCATGGCTATAGGTTTTATTTATTAGCGTTTTGTGTTTTATCCGTCGTGGGAATTCAAAACAAGGTATTTGCAATGCTAGACGTGCTTGATTTATCATCAATTCGCATCAAATAAATGACAAAGCCTAATCCCCCCCATTCAGCAGATTGTAGTCCATTAGGAATGGTTGAAGTCAGTGTCGGTGTCTGTGAAGATCTCCAAAGCAGGATTTCACAGGTCTACTACCCAGAAGGTTGGGTTACTAGGTTGGGTTAACCATTTAACCCACCTGCTGGGTCAAAACAACCCAATTGCTGGGTTTGTCCCTATTTTACCCAGCACTGGGTTGTATTTAACCCAGCATTTTTTAGAGTGTATGTTTACCGCGTCTCGATGGTTAAATACGGTGTTTGGTTTCTAGAGATCTTCAATACAGAGTTCAGTGGAGCAACACAGATCACGAGGTCCAAGCTTTACTGGTCCAGAAGCTGCCCAGTGGAGTCTATGTGGACGCATACCAGCTGGAAACTCTGAGGCGCGACACGGGGTTGGAGGTCAACGCGGTTGTAGTCGGCGTATTAGGTGTCCGTTTGTAAACACTGCATTAACTAACACTGCTTTATTGTGTTGTAGGTTCTCCTGGATTCAGAGGTCGATCTGGAAGCTCCAGAGTATCTGTCCTCTGGGTTCACGGCGCTGGTTTTTCTCTCGGGAACGCACGAGGCTGTGGCTCACGGCCGATATCACAGACCCTCAGACTCCAGGAAGCCAGTGAAAGTAGACATGGAGCCGCCCAGAGTGCTCCTCAGATCAGACCAGTGTGAGACGCTGCAGACGCGCGCGCTCAGTGAGTGAGTCAAGCCTGGTCTGTCTGCTGAACCCAGCGTGTTTCTGTGCTTCTCTCAATCACAGGCCGCACACTGAGTCCTGGGGTACGTGGTGTAGGGGTCGAGGCTCCCTGTACCGTCAGCAACCACAGCATCTGCTCATGGATGAGATCCTGGATCTAGAGGGGATGCTTATCCAGCCAAAGTGCTGGGACCCTGGACCACAAAACCAGTCATAAGGGTCAATTTTTTTTAAATTTACATGTAGACTGCTTTTGTGCTGCAGGGTCACATATTATATAATAATAGATAATATGTGTATTGTTAATAAATAATATTTTAGTATAATGCAGTATGTGTCATAATAACATGATTTTGAGTAATATTTTATGTATTGTATAATAATAGCAATGTGTTTTAATAATTGTATCTTTATAATGTTATTTATGAAAACATTATATGTTTAATATAATAATAATAATATATCATTGCATACGTACATATTTGAATGTAATTAATATATCATATGTAGTATTATTATAATGATAATAGTTTCTATAATGTACAATATAATAATAATGATACATACTTTAATATAGGCTAATGTAATATTAATATGAATAAATATGTATTATAGCAAAGTTCATGCATACGTTAATGTAAATTATATGTAGTGTTATTATTTATAATTGCATATTATATAATAATAGCATAATATAATTTTATTTATAATAGTAATAGGCCTACATAGCAAAGTTCATGCATATTTGTAAGTAATATATTTGTAATTATTTATAATAATATATAATATGCACAAAATTGACTTTAACACACACACACGCATACTTAAGATATTTTTATTTAATATATAACAATACATATTTTGATTTGATTAATATTTAATATATCATAGCAGTGTTCATGCATGCTTTAATAAATTGTATATTCATCATAATATCATTTATAATAATTAATTTTGTATAATATAATTATAACATATATATGTATGATAGTAACATATAACAATATTATTATTATTAATAATAAAATACCACATGATACATAATATTTTTATATAATTTTATATTTATAATAGCATTATTTATAATAGAAATATTATTTTATGCAATATACAAAACTATTTCGATTTTTTTATTATTATTAATATTTATATATAACATTGCGAAGTTCATGCATACTTAAAAAAAATGTATATTTATAATAATACTAATAATATTTATTATAGCAAACTTCATGCATGTTTTAATAAATTGTATATTCATCATATCATGTATAATATAATTATAACACATATTTATGATAGTAACATATAACAATATTATTATTAATAATAAAATACCATATGATACATAATAATATTTTTATATAATTTAATATTTATAATAGCATTATTTATAACAGAAATATTAGTTTCTACAATATATTAAAATATTTAGATGTTTTTATTATTATTAATATTTATATATAAAATATATTTAAAAATGTATATTTATAATAACACTAATATTTATTATAGCAAACTTCATGCTTGTTTTAATAAATTGTATATTTATAATAACATTATATTTCATTATAAACATTTTATAATGTAACAATAACAAATATGTAAGTATAGTTTGATATTATAATAGCATGGAGTAAATGCAGTGTTTTTGCTGCTGCGTGTGGTGATCCTCACAGTGTGTACTGAGCTGTGTTTACCTGCTCTCAAACATCTGACCACAGGCTGACAGATCCCTCACACAGAGCTAGAGCTAGAGCTAGAGCTAGAGCAGTGCTTCAGAGAAACGTGCATGCGTGAATAGGATGCTATCAGAGTGGATTCATAATCATGTGTTACTCTGATTGTAAATAAAGCTGGATATTACTTTGTTTAAAAATATTTATTTTGCGTCTGTCTGTTATCACATCAATGTTTGAAATGAAATAAAATATGAAAAATATTTTAAATAAATTATTAGCATTAAGATTATTTCTATTATATATATATATATATATATATATATATATATTTATTTATATATATAATGCAATTTTGAAATATATATTAATATTTAAATTAAAAATGTATAATTGTCATAAAAAATATAAATATAATTAATTAAAAAGTTCCCATTAATGCTGATTTAATAATTGTTTAAGTAATATATTTATTGTTAATTTTATGATAACTATTATTAATTTATTCTGACACTATTTTCATGATATGGTTATGGTCATCCTAAAAATCACCTTAATATTTTAATGCTAAATATAATGACTTATTTTATTATCATTATTAATAGTAATAATAAATTATTATTAATCTAAGGACAGTTATTCTGACATTATTTTTCTATATATATATATATATATATATATAATGCAATTTTGAAATATTACATATTCATTTTTAAATTAAAAATGTATAATCGTCATTTTTTTAAGGTTTTATATAAGATGTATAATATAAAGTAAACGATTTAAAATTATATACAATTTATTTTCTCATATTATTACTATTATTTTTATAAAAATAATTGTGAAAATAATATATATTCCTTTTCGAGAGATTCTTTTATGTCTGTTATTACGTCATCAATATTTTGAGACATATATATTTTATTAAGATTAAAATATTGATATATATATATATAATCATAATTGAATGTGTGTGTATACAATTCCAAAGTATCAAATATTTAAATAATATAAATCCTTAAATAAAAGCATAATCCTTAATATTAACGCATTAATGTTTATATAATACATACAGATTAAAAGTAATATACATTCTTTACAGCAATATATGAATTACGCAATATTAATAATTATAATATATTTAATATTTATAAGTAACAATTTTGAAATATTAAATACTTAATTTATAAAATATTGATACATAATCATAATTGAATGTGTGTGCAATATTAATAATTATAATATACATAGTTATAAGTAATTGATTTATAAGTAACAATTTTGAAATATTAAATACTTAATTCAATTTATTTTTAAATATAACATATTGACACATATATAATCATAACTGAATGTGTGCGCGTGTATACAATTCCAAACTATAAAACATTTGAATAATATAAATATTTTTAAAAAGTATAATCCTTAATATTAATGCATTAATGTTTATATATAATGTTTTACAGATTACAAGTAATATATATATATATATATATATGTATTATCAGCAATATATGAATTACGCAATATGCATAATTATAATAAATATATATAAATATATAAGTAATATATACATGTTAATTGCAATAAATAAATCAATAATTCCTGTTAAAAGTAATTCTGGAATTGAAGTCGATCGCCGGACTTTTATTTTGTCGCACCGGAAACAGTCGCTGGCTGTTTGCTGCAGGCGAGGGCAGAAAGAGACGCTGCTGGGCGCCTCCCCTTCCCCAAACCAGCACAAAAAACTACCAAAAATCAAGCGATACGCTGCAGATAACGGCGCAGAAACCTTCCGACGGGGCTTCGGCGTCTCCTCAGGCTCTTCCCGGACAGAGCAGCTCCTCCGCGGCCCGCTGGAGCGCGTCAGACTGAAGTTTGAGCTCCGCTTCGCAGGTGAGCCGCGACAAAACCCGAGATTCTCCTCCGGCCGCGTCCCGAATCCTAGTGTGCTGCCTGCCGCTACCTAGACAGCAGCCGCGAGCGCTCGGGTGCCTCTGTGCAGCGCTGTGTATGTAGGGCTCGTGTCTGCCGGCAGCTTCCAGCTCGGGGTCGTGTGTGTGTGTGAGAGTGCGTGTGTGAGTGAGAGAGCGTGTGTGAGTGAGAGAGCGTGTGTGAGTGAGAGTGCGTGTGTGTGAGAGAGTGCGTGTGTGTGTGAGTGCGTGTGAGTGAGAGAGTGCGTGTGAGTGAGAGAGAGTGCGTGTGTGTGAGAGAGTGCGTGTGTGTGTGAGTGCGTGTGAGTGAGAGAGTGTGTGTGAGTGAGAGAGTGTGTGTGTGAGTGAGAGAGCGTGTGTGAGTGAGAGAGCGTGTGTGAGTGAGAGAGCGTGTGTGAGTGAGAGAGCGTGTGTGAGTGAGAGAGCGTGTGTGAGTGAGAGAGCGTGTGTGAGTGAGAGAGCGTGTGTGAGTGAGAGAGCGTGTGTGAGTGAGAGAGCGTGTGTGAGTGAGAGAGCGTGTGTGAGTGAGAGAGTGTGTGTGTGTGTGTGTGTGTGTGTCGCTTCTGCTCTCGCGCCAGAGAACAGGGAAGATCAACACAACAGTACTGTGTCAGGAAATATGATAATATCATAATTAATTGTTATTTTTATGATGATTATTATTAATTTATTCTGACACTGTTTTCATGATAGTTGATAGCGTACAATAGTTATGATGGTCGTAAAAGTCACCTTAATATTTTAATTAAAAAAATTATTTTAATATGTATTATTTTTTTCATTATTGTTATTATTTAATACTAGTAATTATCAATTATTATTAATCTTAGGACAATTATAAAAAATTTTCTGACATTATTTCCATTATAATTAAGTGTAGTTTAGTATGATTCTAAAAAATTGTCTAAATATTCTTTATGCGAAATATAATTTCATATTTTTAAATATGGAAATGATTCAATCTAAAGTTGCAATAATGGAAAAAAATATATAGTTTCTTATTTTTTTTCCATTAATATTAATCGAGGTATTATTTTCAAGATGAGCAAGTATGAAATTGCAACTTCTTCTTTTTTTATTTATTTTATTTCTTTGTTTTATATACAGAGTTAATATCATTCACTGACTAAACTAAAAATAAAAAAATAACTAAAAATAAATTAATTAATTAAAAAAATTAATTAAATTGAACCGCAATTTCATACTTATCACGATAATTATAGTGTGCATATTTGCAGTGTGATGCAGCAGAAGTGAATGAAGCAGGACTGAGAGGCTGCAGTGTTTCTGATGTGTTTGTTTGCCGCTGGTGTCGTCTGCGTGGCTCATCTCTCCGTTGTGCTTCCCTTCTGCTCCTGCAGCTCTAACTCCTCCTTTTCTTTATCTCCACCTGCAAACGTTCCCCTCCTTTCTTTCTTTTCTGCTCGTCCCGGACCATGTGTGATAATGGGGATCTGGAGGACAAGCCGCCCGCGCCGCCCGTCAGGATGAGCAGCACCATCTTCAGCGGCGGGAAGGACACGCTGGCTGCCAACCACAGCTCCAAGCCCCTGCCCTCGGTGCCCGAGGAGCGCAAGCGCAACAAGATCTACTCCATCTTCTCCGGAGCCGAGAAGGGTACACACTCACACACACACACACACCATTCACTCGCTTCACACGCGGCAGCAAGCGGCGAGAGCCGTGTGAGGAAGAGCTAGGGCTGAAACCGAAGTCGTTTCAGAACCTCTAACCGACGTAATCTTCCCGTGTCGTTTTTTTAATCCTATTAATACTTTCCCCTTAACTCTTGTGCGTCAATTTAAAAAAAGTTACACACCGGTACATAGAGGACAAAAATGTCCTGTCAAAAAACTGTCATAAACATTTGAAGTTTGGGAGTACAGATTGAGTTTCATCTCATTTTAAAGAAGACCCCTGCAGGTTATTGTTGGAGTTTAAAAAAAGTTATAAAAAAATTGAAAACCAACAAAAAGTGTTAATTGATGTTTAAGTTTATGCAAATGATTTATGAGCCGCTTTTATATAAAATTAGTGCTGTATATGCTCTCTCTATATATATATATATAGTGCTGTATATATTATATATATTTTATATAGTGCCGTCAAACAATTCTAAAATAAACGTTTTGTTTACATAATATGTGTGTACTGTGTATATTTATGTATATATAAATACACACATGCATGTATATATTTAATAAAAAAAAATTAAGTTTATATGAAATATATTTATATATACATTTTCTGAATATAAATATATACATGTAAAAACATGTAAATATTTTCTAAATGTATACATGCATGTGTGTGTATTTATATATGCATAACAAATATACACAGTACACACACATATATTATGTAAACAAAAACTTGTATTTTTGGATGCGATTAATCGCGATTAATCGTTTGACAGCACTATATAAAACAAATATTTTATAAACATTTTGAACTCAGAAATTGATAGAAAATCAAAGCCATAAATCTAAACGAGTTGTTCCAAATTTGAGGTTGATATCTCAAAAAATGAGCTTTTAGTGAGATTTTGTTTGGGTGCAGTACCAAACTCTTCCATTAGATGCCAGCAAAGCTCTGCTGGCGTACACAGCGGTGGGATTGTGATTCGCAGTACAGTATGACTTCTCTCTCTCAAATATTACTGGTGCACACTAGGGTTGTGCCGATAGACGATAGTATCGTGTATCGACGATAGACAGATATCGCCTGTGGCTGATGCCTTTGACGATAACAAGACGATTATTATTATTATTATCAGGCTAGTAATACGGTCTAATTAATATTAGGGCTTATTTGTTGCATTAGGGCTATATTTCTTTTTCTGCGTTTTTACAGTATTGCGCGTTGTTTTTATACACTATGGTTCTAACCAATCACACACGATTATGCTGAGCTTGTGAATGCATTGGCCAATCAGAGGCGTTCAGATGAGTCATCGCTGAAACAGTAGCGTTCCTTCACTGATTATAACGGGAGTGTTTTTAAAGCGCGCTAGACTGAGCTTGTGATGATGTTCTGTGGTAATGTAATGTTCTTTGCTCGTTTTCTGTAGCTGCTTTTTGAATAACGGCGGAAATGTAAGCATTATAATTAAAAGCGTACAATGTTTCTATTAATTTATTATCATGTTAAATACAAATTCAGTCATGTTAGAAACATTAGGCTGCTTTTAGCCTTACGCTGGAGTTGGTTCACCTTCTCGCAACGAAACTAAGCAAATAATGAAATAAATTAGCAGGATAAAATCGTGTATCGGCGATCTCGCATGCTGACGATATGAAAATTGAGCATATCGCCCAACACTAGTGCGCACACACAAAACTGTATTTAGGACACGCATACATACCACACTCTTTCATTAGAAATAAAAATCCCACCATGAGTATATTTACAGTACAAACCTTGAAACCAAAAAATGAAACCATCATCAGTAATGCTGTTAGCGTTCAATAATCGTAATCGAGGTAAAGTGTTCAGTTAATCAATATACACAATATTAACACATTATTTACATTTATATTTTTGTTTGCATTAATTTGAACATTTTCCACATTGTTGTTCCTGGTTTTCAGTCATTTAAATTAATTATTATTTGATATAATTATATCATTTTTATATTATTCAAATTTAAATCTGTACTTCTGAAAATGCAATTGTCACACCGCAGGAGTTAAGCAAACGGACAAAGATGCTTAAAATTGCACCTAAATTCATCAACGTTTGAACCGAAAAGGTTGATTTGAAAAGCAGTAGTTGTAAGCTTAGTGTTTGCAGAGCTCTCAGGCTCATGATTTCTGTGCTGGTCGAAGCCGCAGAGGTTTGGTTTGTGACTGTACATGTGGAGATGCATCGCCTCGTTTCACACTCGGGGTTCAGTGTGAAGCGTCGTGACTCTCGGTTGTGGTCGTGATGATGAGAGGCTGTGTGTGTGTGGCGTGTGACAGGCGGCCGAAGGAAGGACCGAGATCGAGAGCGTCCGGAGATCTCGCCGCCGTCAGACTTCGAGCACACCATTCACGTGGGGTTTGACGCCGTCACCGGAGAGTTCACGGTAAGACTGGATATACTCGAACTGTAATTTATTCATTTCAGTTTTCTGTCTAATTACGTTATTGTAAAGTTACGCATATCTATATCCATCTCTAAATAGCAAAAATAACGTATATTATTTTATACATGTAGGCTATATGTGCAGTGTTTTATATATGGAGAGTTTATTTGCAAAAACGGAACTCTTCAGAAAATTTTCAAAAATCATATTTTTTATGTTATCATGGTTTTGTGTTAGTTAGCGGTGTTTTTTTTTTTTTTTTTTTAGTTATTTTTTAACCCAACTGCAGTTTGATTGAGATTTTGAATGCACAATGAAAAACATGATTTTTGAAAATTGTTAAAAACTTTGCAAATGAACTCTTCGTATATATATGTATATATAATTGACATTTCGCAGGTTTTTAAAATATTAAACTGAAGGATTTTAAATAGTTGTTGTTGTAAGGTGTTTAATTAATTAATTAATTTTATTGTAGTTTGTACTGTTATTTGCACTTTGCCGGTAAATATTTAAAGGAATGTAACCAATATAAATACAATTTAAATTATTTGGTTTCAGTGTGAAAAAATGTTCGAATTACTTTCACATATTAAACTTGCATCTATTGTTATTGAAATGTTATGTAATGAGATGTTTTATTTTATATTTTGTAGCTTATACCGCTATGAGCGCTTAACCAATGAATATGTCAAATAATGTAACCAATATAAAACCATTATTATAATATTCTTACTTTTAATGTTACTAGAAAATACTTTTAACGTTTTTATTTCTATTGGATATTAAACGGAATGATTTTAGATCGTTGTTACTGTAATGTTGCAAGATTTCTAATTGTATATTTTACTTTTTTTTATATATATTTTTTTTCTTTGTTGCAGCTTGCACTTCTTAACACTTTACCAATAAGTATTTAAAATAATAAAACCAATATAAAAGTAATTTATTTAAAAAAAATTTAAGTCCTGTTAGACTTTAAGCTGAATTATTTTATTTGGTTGTTATTAAGAAGTTAAAGAAGTAAGAAGTTTAACTGTATATTTTTTAAGTTGGCTGTATGTTTTTTAAGTTGGCTTGAGAAAGCTATTTAAACGTATTCTTCTTCTTACTAAAAATGTTGACTCTGCAACCACATAACACCCTAGCAACCAACCCGAGCACCCTAGCAACCACATAGCAACTACCCAGAGTACCCGAGCAACCGCATAGCAACACCTTAGCAACCACCCGGCACCCTAGCAACCACCCCACATAGCAACACCTTAGCAACCACACAAGGTACCCTAGCAACCGACCTGTGTAACCTAGCAACCGCCTTAGCAACCACATTGCAACACCCTAGAAACCACCCCAGTTAGCATAGCAACCGTCATAGCAACCACTCCAAGTACCCTAGCAACCACCTAGAATACTCTAGCAACCGCTCTAAGATCCTTTATCTATCTATCTATCTAAAGTTTGTCTAGACGAACTTTGTCTAGTTTATCGTTATTTGTTGCTTAAATATACACTGAAGCTGATACATTAAATGAATGAATGAATAAATAAAGTAAAACGATATTCTTATTTTGGAACTGACACAATGGATAATTTACGCTTTTTGACCAAATATCGTAATGTATAGCCGAAATGATGCATAGCTGAAACCTGGTGATTTTCACTTAAAATATCGGCCACATGCTCATCATTTACAGCCGTTATCAAAGGTCAGCACCGATATATACGGCATCGGTGGCTGTGAGTGGATCTGGTTCAGGTTAGATCTGTGGTTTCTCGATCTCTCAGGGAATGCCGGAGCAGTGGGCGCGGTTACTGCAGACCTCCAACATCACCAAATCAGAGCAGAAGAAGAACCCGCAGGCCGTCCTGGACGTGCTCAAGTTCTACGACTCCACGGGAAACGGCCGGCAGAAGTACCTCAGCTTCTCCTCAGGTCTGCTGGACGACTCGCGCTCTCATGCTCACCGTACAGGAACTGTCATGTCGCACTGACCGCTTTTCTCCATGTGTTTGTGTTTAGAGAAGGACGGATTTCCCTCTGGTGAACAGTCGGTATGTGAATCAGTGTTATTGAGATGCTCGTTGTTGTTTCTTAGTAGTTTTTATTTTTGTGTTTTCCATTTTTATTTCAGTTTTAGTCTTTTTATAATTTTTTATTAGCTATTTAAACTTGTTGTTTACCCAGTAAACTTGTTTTTATTTACGACACATTTTATTATTTGTGTTGTTGTTTTTTTTCTCTAAGTTTTATTTGAGTTTTAGTCTTTTTATTTATTATTTTTAGCTATTTAAACTTGTTGTTTACCCAGTGAACTTGTTTTTATTTTATTTTTATTTTATTTTGTTATTATTTTAGTCTTAGTAATTTTAATGCATAAGTAAAACTAAATGAAATGTTGCTTTGGCAATTGGCTGAAATGAAATAAGTTCATAAATGCTAATAAATATGTATTTCTTGTTTTCATAATTTTTCCAAAGTTTTCATTTTTTTTCGTGTTTTGTAATTTTTGTTAGTTTTTTTTTTAAGTGTCTATAAAGGTTTTATTTGAGCTTTAGTTTGAATTATTTTAGTACATGAAGTCAAATTAAATGAAAATTACAAATACTGCTTAGTTTTAGTTTAAATAATTTTGATGTGTTTTTGTAATTTTTATTAGGTTTATTTGTCTGTTTTATAGAATTTTATTTTAATTATAACATTTTATTATTTTAGTTTATTTTAGTACTTAAACGGGAAAAAAAATGTTGCTAAGGCAACTAATAGATTTTTTACATTTTATTTTGTCAGTTAACATTTGTTTTATTTCAAGTAACAAAACCCTTTTTCTAGTTTTCGTTAACAACAAAAACAGTGACTAAACCAGCTCAAGCTGGTTTCTGAATAATAATTGCACTGCTTTCCTTCTCTAAAACCAAAGCCTGTGAAAAAATCACCAGAGCCCTCGTCTCCAGTCAAAACGGTGGATGACGATGAAGACGAAGACGATGAGGAGACGCCGCCACCTGTTGTCGCACCACGACCAGAACACACCAAGAGTGTAAGAAACCATTAAAAATATAGTTTTTATATACATTATACACTATACTTTACAAGTATAGTGTACATAAAAAAAACTCCAGATATTTGGCTATTTACAGTTTTCATTTAGTATAGATTTTCATTTCATTTTTAAGAATTATTTAGTAATGTAGTTTTTTTCCCCTTTAACATTTTTGCTTTTTTGTTATGTTTATTTAGTTAAACAATAGCGTTGTTATGGGAATTTTGGGATATTGCATCAAAATATTCTGGAAGGAAATGCCAAGATGTGCTTAAAAGCTAGTAGTATTGAGATGCTATTATTTTTAGAATTTATAAAAAAAAATATTTGTAGTATTTTTGTTGGGATTTTTTTTTTGTAGATTTTTTTTTTTTTAAGTATAAAAATACAAAAACCATTAGGTGGAAATGCCAGGATGAACTTAAAATCTGTAAAAAACAAAACAAAAAAAACGTTTTGATCTGGTGGTATGAGATACTATAGGTTTCATTTAAATTTGTAGATCTTTTTTTAAACAAATTTTTAGTAATTTTGTTGGGATTTTTTTTTTGTGATTTTTAGTAGTTTTTATTTTTTTATTTTATTTTTTTATATTGCATCAGAAACACCAGATTGAAAATGACAGATTTTTTTGTTGTTGTCATTTTTAGTAATTTTTGTTCTTTTAAAATGTCCGTATAGTTTTTATTATTTAACTAAATGAAAATTATAATGGTTGACTTCACAAGTAGCTGAAACAAAAAATAACGTTTATTTTATTTCAAGTAATGAAAATGAATTTTTTCATTTAAATTTCTTTTGCTCCCAGTTAACTGTGATAACTCTTGTTATTTCAGGTATATACTCGACCATCGGTCATCGACCCCATCCCTCCTCCAGTGACGTCTCCAGACAGCGAGGTAGCATCGAAGGCAGGCGACCGACAGAGACCCAAAAAGGGCAAGATGACGGACGAGGAGATCATGGACAAGCTCCGTACGTCACCGTATAAGAAGTTCTTTGCGCAATTTCACTGCTTCGCGAGATTCAAACCACATGTCCACTGTTTGTTCTCCGACAGGAACTATAGTCAGTATTGGAGATCCAAAAAAGAAATATACACGATACGAGAAGATCGGACAAGGGTAGGTCCTGAAATTCTTTGCAACATGTTATTGTTTCGTTAATGGATGGAGATCAATAATTGAGTCTTTCCACAGAGCTTCGGGAACGGTGTTCACTGCCATCGACGTTGCTACTGGACAGGAGGTAATGCAAGAGAGCGAAACGGATTCATTGTTGTTCCTTTTTCCCACTTTCGTCATCTCAACGCGTTTCTGTCTCTCAGGTGGCCATCAAACAGATCAACCTGCAAAAGCAGCCCAAGAAAGAGCTTATCATCAACGAAATTCTCGTCATGAAGGAACTGAAGAATCCAAACATTGTCAACTTCTTAGACAGGTAACCGCTCTTCAAGAAACAACATCTCTTGTGAATTTTGTGAACTTGGCCTTCACTTCCAGGTAAGGAATTTCCAAGTTTACATTAATAATTGCATACCCCTTAGCATTTTTAGGCAAATTTTGGGATATCACAGCTTAAAATCTGTGTAAAACTTTAGAAGTGGATATTTTCAATCCGATAGGAAGACGTGCGCAGAAACTGTGATGTAAACGTGTTTACCGAATACATTCCTCAGTGCGCAACAAACTTGCATGACGTTGCCTCAACAGAATGTGTGATTGGATAACTGGACTAACAAGTGCACAAATCTCATCGCACACCAATTGGAAGGTTGTTTTAGTCATTCTAAAGTGCACAAATGCAAGATAACACAACAGCTTTTATTAATCGTAATTTAACTTTTGTAATTTTCCTTTCGGAAGTAATTTATTATGGTGGAAAAAGAGAAAGTGTTTTGCAGCATCTTCCATCTTTATTATTGACACTTAGCACCAGTTTCCAAAGAAGTGACAAATTTGTCCTCTTGAGCACATGGTTTGTTTGTAAAAGTTTTATGCGATATTCCAGTTTGTTTTTGAAAAATTTGTAACTTTGGTTGTAAAACTAGCTAATGATGCCATGAAGGTTTAAGATTGTTAATTGTGCAAAAGTTTTATGCAATATAACAGTTTTTCGCACAACTTAAATTCGTAACTTTGATTGGAGAAATAGCTGATGATGCCATGAAGGTTTAAGATTGTTAATTGTGCAAAAGTTTTATGCAATATAACAGTTTTTCGCACAACTTAAATTCGTAACTTTGATTGGAGAAATAGCTGATGATGCCATGAAGGTTTGAGAATGTTGATTGTGAACGTTTTATGCAATATTCCAATTTCTCACACAAGTTTAATTCGTAAATTTCAATGGAAACGGCTAATGAGTTTTAAAAGTGTAAATTGTGCAAATGCAATATTCCAGTTTTTGCACAAGATAAATTCGTATTCTTCAATGGAAACATAGCTACAAGATGCCATGAAGGATCAAGAGTGTTAATTGTGCATGTTTTAAGCAATATTCCAATTTTTGCACAAATTAAATTAATATCTTTGGTTTGAAACACAGCTAATGGTGCCATGAAGGTTTGAGTGTTAATTGTGTAAATGTTTTGTGCAATATTTAAACTTTTTTTTAGTAGTTAAATTTGTAACTTTTGATGGAAACGGCTAATGATTCTATTAAGGTTTGAGTGTTAATTGTACATTTTGTATGCAATATTCCAATTTTTCGTTTAATTAGTAACTTTCACTGGAAACATAGCTATTTATGCCATGAAGTTTTACAAGTGTTAATTGTGCAAATGTTTTAAGCAGGTTTCCAGTTTTTCCACATAACTTTAATTCGGAACTGGTTGAAAACATAGCTAATGATTCCATGAAGTTTTATCAGTGTTAATTGTGCAAATGTTTTTTTTTTTCTTTCATAAAATTAATTGAATTTGTAACTTTGATTGGGAAAACTAGGTAATGATTCCACGAAGGTTTGCAAATGTTTAATGCAGTATTCAGATTTTTAGCTTAACTTAAATTTGTAAATTTAGATGGAAACATAGCTAATGTTGCCATGAAGGTGTGCAAATTTTTTATGTTACATTCCAGTTTTTTGCACAAATTTAATTTGTAGCTTTCAATAGAATCTTGACTATTGATGCCATGAAGATTTATGAGTATTAATTGTCTCTGCTACAGTTTTCTGGTAGGTGAGGAGCTGTTTGTCGTGATGGAGTACTTGGCTGGTGGCTCGCTCACAGACGTCGTAACCGAGACATGCATGGACGAGGCCCAGATCGCCGCTGTATGCCGAGAGGTGCGTTGAAGTCGAAGCATCCTCCCGTCAAACTCATAGACTTGCTGAATTTGTTTTTTGGGGGAAACCCTGACAATAAATGCACAGTTGAACTCTGTTCAAAATCAGGCCTTGTATGTGTTAACAGAAAGTAACCCTGTCGCTTAACTAATGAACTTCCTCTTGTCTGATATCTTACAGTGTTTGCAGGCACTGGAGTTTCTGCACGCTAATCAGGTCATTCATCGAGACATCAAGAGTGACAACGTGCTTCTGGGAATGGACGGTTCTGTCAAGCTCAGTATGTTCTCGCTTCTGCATGCAAACGCTCTGGTTTTTATGAGTGGAAACGGACTGAAGTGTGAATTTCAGTTATATCGCAGCACAAAGATGTTGATTGTGGTTAGGTGCAAAATCTTTGAAAGGTGCCTTCACACCTGGTGCTCTGAGAACCAGACGCAGTAAGCGTCATGTTTGGTTTGGTTTAGCTGCTCGTTCTGAATAATTGAGCTCTTGTGAGCCAAAACTTGACGACTATAAAGAAACCGTAAGTAAACCGTTCCAACAATAGACGTTCAAGTGAATAAAGTGTTTGGTTTTCACCCAACAGCACTTATTTGAAGAAATGTCATTAGTAATTTTTATGTAATCTGATAACACTTAGTCAACTCTGTTTATCGCAGCCAACAGCCTTTTCATTATTGCAACGTTTCTTCTGAAGTTTTGCACCCTAGACATGCAGTGTGAATCAAACTAGCCCACAATAAAATCCATAATTGACTTTAGTCAGGGTAGATGCCATGTTTATTTAGACACTAAATAAAATGAGGCTATGAATGGGCCTTATTCGTGAAAAAACAACCTGTGTAAATCAATCATGAAACATAGTTTGGTTTACTTAACTGTGATTTTATGAACAATTTGGACTTGTTTCATGAATGGGACCCATTACGTCTTGGGTTACGTTACATTTTTTTCAGTCTAGTTTTCAAAGTCTACTGGAATTGTTTTAGAATTGTATTTTTGGCATTTTGCCATCTTCTTGGTCAACACCAAATTACGCAACCATATGATGCACTGGTCTACAATTTTCACTTTGTGATTGTCATTGGTGTTAAAAATGGCATCTAATGCGACTGAGGTCCATAAGTTCCATATAAGTCGTCAATGAAAGGAAATAAACTAAAATAAAATCTTTTTCATCTCCTGCTCCGCAGCGGACTTTGGATTCTGTGCTCAGATCACTCCCGAACAGAATAAGAGGAGCACCATGGTGGGAACAATGATGTAAGCGCCGCAATACAACATGGAGGTAAGATTTGAGTTAAAACAGTGTTTTGTTGTTACTGCAACACTACAAAACTTTTTTTCCTCTTGTTTTTAATATCAAAAGACACTCTCAATCTGAACTCAGTAAGACGAGTGTAGCAGCTAATGGGGGCAACAATGTTTTTTCACTCACTCCTCGTTAGTATAGTGGTAAGTATCCCCGCCTGTCACGCGGGAGACCGGGGTTCAATTCCCCGACGGGGAGAAAACACTTTTTTTCCCTTTGTGTTCACAGGAAAACTCATTTATAGACTCCCAATTGTATATCTAAAGATTACCTGTAACAATAACAATTGTTTTATTTTAAAATAAGACAAAACATCTCATTAGTAGATCGTTTTACTTATGAAAAGATATGAGGGGCCGTGTAGGCCATAATTATTGAAAAGCCTCTTACAAACACTAGTGAAATGAAAAACACTGATCAACCTTAGTGAAATTCATTCATACGCATTACTGAAATCCCTCTTACAAACACTAGTGAAATGAAAAACACTGATCAACCTTAGTGAAATTCATTCATACGCATTACTGAAATCCCTCTTACAAACACTAGTGAAATGAAAAACACTGATCAACCTTAGTGAAATTCATTCATACGCATTACTGAAATCCCTCTTACAAACACTAGTGAAATGAAAAACACTGATCAACCTTAGTGAAATTCATTCATACGCATTACTGAAATCCCTCTTACAAACACTAGTGAAATGAAAAACACTGATCAACCTTAGTGAAATTCATTCATACGCATTACTGAAATCCCTCTTACAAACACTAGTGAAATGAAAAACACTGATCAACCTTAGTGAAATTCATTCATACGCATTACTGAAATCCCTCTTACAAACACTAGTGAAATGAAAAACACTGATCAACCTTAGTGAAATTCATTCATACGCATTACTGAAATCCCTCTTACAAACACTAGTGAAATGAAAAACACTGATCAACCTTAGTGAAATTCATTCATACGCATTACTGAAATCCCTCTTACAAACACTAGTGAAATGAAAAACACTGATCAACCTTAGTGAAATTCATTCATACGCATTACTGAAATCCCTCTTACAAACACTAGTGAAATGAAAAACACTGATCAACCTTAGTGAAATTCATTCATACGCATTACTGAAATCCCTCTTACAAACACTAGTGAAATGAAAAACACTGATCAACCTTAGTGAAATTCATTCATACGCATTACTGAAATCCCTCTTACAAACACTAGTGAAATGAAAAACACTGATCAACCTTAGTGAAATTCATTCATACGCATTACTGAAATCCCTCTTACAAACACTAGTGAAATGAAAAACACTGATCAACCTTAGTGAAATTCATTCATACGCATTACTGAAATCCCTCTTACAAACACTAGTGAAATGAAAAACACTGATCAACCTTAGTGAAATTCATTCATACGCATTACTGAAATCCCTCTTACAAACACTAGTGAAATGAAAAACACTGATCAACCTTAGTGAAATTCATTCATACGCATTACTGAAATCCCTCTTACAAACACTAGTGAAATGAAAAACACTGATCAACCTTAGTGAAATTCATTCATACGCATTACTGAAATCCCTCTTACAAACACTAGTGAAATGAAAAACACTGATCAACCTTAGTGAAATTCATTCATACGCATTACTGAAATCCCTCTTACAAACACTAGTGAAATGAAAAACACTGATCAACCTTAGTGAAATTCATTCATACGCATTACTGAAATCCCTCTTACAAACACTAGTGAAATGAAAAACACTGATCAACCTTAGTGAAATTCATTCATACGCATTACTGAAATCCCTCTTACAAACACTAGTGAAATGAAAAACACTGATCAACCTTAGTGAAATTCATTCATACGCATTACTGAAATCCCTCTTACAAACACTAGTGAAATGAAAAACACTGATCAACCTTAGTGAAATTCATTCATACGCATTACTGAAATCCCTCTTACAAACACTAGTGAAATGAAAAACACTGATCAACCTTAGTGAAATTCATTCATACGCATTACTGAAATCCCTCTTACAAACACTAGTGAAATGAAAAACACTGATCAACCTTAGTGAAATTCATTCATACGCATTACTGAAATCCCTCTTACAAACACTAGTGAAATGAAAAACACTGATCAACCTTAGTGAAATTCATTCATACGCATTACTGAAATCCCTCTTACAAACACTAGTGAAATGAAAAACACTGATCAACCTTAGTGAAATTCATTCATACGCATTACTGAAATCCCTCTTACAAACACTAGTGAAATGAAAAACACTGATCAACCTTAGTGAAATTCATTCATACGCATTACTGAAATCCCTCTTACAAACACTAGTGAAATGAAAAACACTGATCAACCTTAGTGAAATTCATTCATACGCATTACTGAAATCCCTCTTACAAACACTAGTGAAATGAAAAACACTGATCAACCTTAGTGAAATTCATTCATACGCATTACTGAAATCCCTCTTACAAACACTAGTGAAATGAAAAACACTGATCAACCTTAGTGAAATTCATTCATACGCATTACTGAAATCCCTCTTACAAACACTAGTGAAATGAAAAACACTGATCAACCTTAGTGAAATTCATTCATACGCATTACTGAAATCCCTCTTACAAACACTAGTGAAATGAAAAACACTGATCAACCTTAGTGAAATTCATTCATACGCATTACTGAAATCCCTCTTACAAACACTAGTGAAATGAAAAACACTGATCAACCTTAGTGAAATTCATTCATACGCATTACTGAAATCCCTCTTACAAACACTAGTGAAATGAAAAACACTGATCAACCTTAGTGAAATTCATTCATACGCATTACTGAAATCCCTCTTACAAACACTAGTGAAATGAAAAACACTGATCAACCTTAGTGAAATTCATTCATACGCATTACTGAAATCCCTCTTACAAACACTAGTGAAATGAAAAACACTGATCAACCTTAGTGAAATTCATTCATACGCATTACTGAAATCCCTCTTACAAACACTAGTGAAATGAAAAACACTGATCAACCTTAGTGAAATTCATTCATACGCATTACTGAAATCCCTCTTACAAACACTAGTGAAATGAAAAACACTGATCAACCTTAGTGAAATTCATTCATACGCATTACTGAAATCCCTCTTACAAACACTAGTGAAATGAAAAACACTGATCAACCTTAGTGAAATTCATTCATACGCATTACTGAAATCCCTCTTACAAACACTAGTGAAATGAAAAACACTGATCAACCTTAGTGAAATTCATTCATACGCATTACTGAAATCCCTCTTACAAACACTAGTGAAATGAAAAACACTGATCAACCTTAGTGAAATTCATTCATACGCATTACTGAAATACCTCTTACAAACACGAGTGAAAACACTGATCAACCTTAGTGAAATACATTCATATGCATATAAAGATATTCGTGCAACTGTAGCACATACTGAAAAAAATGAGTAAAATGTACTGATAATTTTCTGCCAGGACATTATCCATTAATTTTCCATTGCGGAAATAACGTACCATGGTTAATTTTCATAAGTTTTCCATTAACCCTAAAACGAAACGCAATGCAGTGCAAAATTAAAAATACTGCCATAAATGAAATTGAAATGTGAAAGTTAAATAAGCTAACACTGACTGTTGCCTGCTACAGGGGAAAAAAAATCCCATATAGCCTATTTAACAATGGGATTCAAATTTTAACTTGCCGCTATAGACGGTGTTGACGGTAATTGTTAAGCCGCAACACCGGTTACGTCACTTTCCCACCGCGGCACCGACCCCCACCGTCGTTTTGATTTTTTTTACAGTAATAAAAATAATTTAGTTCAGTAAAAGAACAGACACTACAATTAAAAACTGAATGCGGCTGCTCAATGCAGCGTGCCGGACGACAGTCGCATCACAGATCGGATTTCATTTATCCAGTGAGGAGAGTTAGTCGAGCTTACTGACAAGAAGAGTGAGGTGAGACAGACAAGACGATCGCGGATGATTTAGTTTCGAAACGAGATGCAAAAGCAATATTGGCAATATTTTAAATTTTGAAAAGCCTGTTGACTTTTGCCATTTATCTAAGGTGATTTTGGAAGTTTTTTTAAAACATTCATTTCTTATTTAATTGTTTCACAGTGTTTGCTTTTTTTACTTTATTTAAACTTTGTATAATTGATTGATTTTATTTGACATCAAGGTGTATGCCGTGCCTCCAAGCTTTCTTATTTGTTTTGCTAATAAACGTTCATTCTTATTTATTTGGTTATATTATACATTTACGTATTTCCAGTTTTGTATACCTATTTAAACTTTATATAAGTTATTTTATATTAGGCATAGCCTGCCCTATAGTATGGTGTATTTATATTCGTTTTGGTAATAAAAGTTATATGCTTTATATATAGGCTAAAGTGAGTTTGATGTTGTATTTTGTTGTTGCATTCAAGCAATTGACGCCGAATTGCCGCTAATTCAAACGTGAAAGTAAAATGTGCAAGGCGCTTTTAAGCTATTTAAAAGCAAAGGAAAAGAGTGAATACAGGTATTACCGGTGTTGTCACACCTTGATTAACCGGTGGGAAAATTTCCTCACCATCACAACCCTAATGGTAACTGCTGAATAGAAGTTGAAAACAATAAAGTAGCCTACAAAATTAAACACTTAGGATGTGCTAAACAATGTTGGACGTGCTCCTCATGAGAACTACAGTAGCCTATTATTAAAAGGGTCATATGATGTTGCTAAAAATAACATTATTTTGTGTATTTGGTGTAATGAAATGTTTATGCGGTTTAAAGTAAAAAAAAACACATTTACAAACTACAAACGCTACTCTACACTGCTCAAAACTCGCGTTTGAATCATCAGTGGCAAATCCTTTAAATGAAAATGTACTTACGTGAGTCAGAACTGCCGGCATTTTAGTC